TTTTTCCCCTCCCCCTCCTCCCCTTCCATTTAACATCCCCTACATTTTCGTCTTCCCCTGCTGCCTCATCCGTGTAACTCAAACCCCCGACCGACCTTCAGCCTGTATGGGTACTTTAGGACCCTCTTTGCCCAGAAGTCGTGCACTGCACCCAGTCAGTCTTTGAAGAACTGCACCCAGCCAAAGCCAAGGTAATTTGGAAGGGAAAAATTTTCAAGCAGTTCTACTGCCAATTCTAATTTTTGTTTTAACAATGATGTTATTCTGGGTACCATGTGAAGTACAGTCAGCTATAAATTGGTATAAAGAACTATAATCACTATAACATTTGCATTAACTCAGCTTTTCAGGATGTCGTCTCTGGAGGAACTGGACGTGGAAGAACACTGTCGTAGCCAGAAAAGTCGTAGGTTCATTTGATGTTCTGTATCATAATTATGATTTTGTGTTGTGTATGTTAATCCTTAACTTGAAATTTACAGGATACGGTCAATGGGACCAATCAGGCAAAATGGAAGCAAAACTGAACTTACTTGATTCAGATCGTCTGCACAAGGTATTTTTCAATGTATCGAATGTGTCAGGTGTATAACCTGATATTTTGATTTTCTTCTGTGTAGCACTACCTCCTTCTTTGTCTGCTTATGTCATAGGTTCGTAAATTACTGAGCCTTGATTGCAATGATGATCATATTTGGGCTCAACAACTGCTGGAGCAACTGACCCCGCAATTAGAGGAAGTTCAAGTGAGTTATACAAATTTGTCATTATTGTAGTGACTCCTTAAAAGAAAATTTAATTTAAGACTTACTTCTTAGTAATATGAGAAAAACAACATCTTCACAGCTATGGAATGTACGAAAATGCCATTTAATGTGTTTGGAAAATATGCCACACCTTCGCAAGCTGCAAGTCGAGGGTTGGCATGAAGAACTGGATACTGAGCCATACATTTTTAAGGAGAGAGGTGGAAGCATGAATGGCATCGAGTTTTTGCATGTTTTCCTTCCAAAAGAAACATCCCTTTCTCTTATTGCTGCTCATGGGCAAAGCTTGAAAGTAATTTATCTGCCATCACCCTCAATTTGAATTAGTATTCTACTCCTTCAATTTTGATCATTTTTTGTAATCTCCTTCTAGGAACTGGAACTGTTTGTTGGTCTCAAATTGCGATTGAATGGTCGTCAGTGGATTTCAAAGGATCTTGCGAAACGTCTTTGGTCTTGTGGCTTACACAACATGTCTGGCCTTGTGCTCCGGAGGGGAGATGAAAGGGAAGGCTTTCACCCAACAGATCGCTGTGAGGCACAAGTAAAATGTTTGAAGAGTAAATTGCCATGGATAAGCGTTTATTGTGACAAATGTGAAAGTATTCCTTGGTGAGTGTGTTACCTATAAGAAAGTTTTTTAAGTGCCATTATACAACCAAATTTTTGGGGGGTGGTTAGGCACAATGAAAATTTTATATTAAGGTTGAATTTTGAAGTACACAACATTTTCTGCAATATGTCTAGTCAGCATAGTAGTAAGTACTGTGAATCTATCTAGTCATCAAAAACACCCATCTTTAAGGAGGATTTATTTTGTTATAGTGACCAGTGTTTAGTTTATCCCTGACCAACTTTAGTCACGTGTCTACTTACGTTATATGCTTTATTTAAACTAAGTATACATTTCTCTGTGTGAGCTACTGATATTGAAATGACTTCCATTTGTAACTGTGTTGAGTGATCCTTCAGTTCACCCGAACTGGTAAAGTTACACTTGTACTTGGTTCTCTATCTTTGCCTTTTTGTTATAATTATCATTCTAAACTTAACCATTATGTGAATGTTTATTGATCTGTTGTGAAAAATTGCTGTATGTTAAGAAAATTAACATGTAAGTAAAATGTTGGTTGACTCTGCTTCTTTTCTTGAGATAAATTATATTTTCTTGAGTTGTGCTCACTTGTTGAAAAATACAGCAGAGCTTTTCTTCAAACTGGTTAAGTGGATCCGAGTTTGATCAAAATGTTTGTACCTGACCATAGGGAACGTGTTCAAGGAAGTCAAATATAGGAATGCTGTCCAATTTGTCTCTAATTGGGGCCTTATTAACTGTATGGTGGAGAAACATTGTGTGAATTAGTCTTTTAGCCGCTTTGAAAACTGGCATTCCACTTTCTGTGATTTTAGAGTGTTAAATATTTTTCTTATTTATTATTATTTAAAGAAACTGACTTTATCTGTGATGTGAGAGAAGCATTTGTGGGTATTTTAAGAGAAAACTTCATGTCTTGTAGAAGTGATTTATTTTAAATCAAAATATATGATTTAATTATTAATGAGAAGTATTTGATTCATTCCTACTCTTCTGTAATAGAGCTGCTTTCTAAAATGTTACAGAATGTTCTAACATGCTATGTTAGTCCTGCTTCATTTCATAAATCTGTCAAGAAGAAAATATTAGTATTAGAAAAACTATCAATAAATTGGTAAATAAGACAGTACTGCAGTTCCTGAAGATAGATTTACTTGAATGTAGGCTTCAGTGAGTGTGATCATCTGGGGAAGTATGTCTGTGACATGGAGATCCTGCATTTCATACCATTTTCCAGTTCCCTTTACAATACAAAACTGATTAGATAAAGAACGCTAATATTTAAATGCTTAAAAATTGACAGTACTATTACCTTGTGTAGAAGATGTACTCGATAGGTCCCCTTCCCTGGCTCTCCATCATGAACAATATTTGCAACCAAATTATACATTGTCTGTTTGTGTTTTGCTTTTACCTCTGGTGTTAGAATATCCCCAAAATCAATATTCCTAAAAACAGACAAAAATTCAATGCAATTTCAATTAAACTAAGAGAGACAATTGAAGAATGAAAAGAATAATTTGATGCAGAATGTAAATGCATATACATGGCAAGTATACAAATACTAACTTTACAGGAAAGTTGACAATTGTAGGGTTCTTCTCTATGAAGAAGGTGTTTTTAGTAAATCTCTGGGGGAAAAAAATCATTTTTACTATGAAAGATCTACAAAACCAACATGTATAATTTAGCTATCATTGACAAGGTACACACCTTTATGTACAAAATAAGGTATGTAGGCAGCTGAATGATTTCAAACCTCTTCATAAAGTCTTCTTTCACTGTCTTGTATTCCTTCTCAGTTGTTGCATTGAACTTGGCTAGCAGAGTATACAGGTTGACCTTCACAATATAAAAACAAATCAGTTAGAAATGGAAAATTGGATTGGTAAATATTACTTTGAAGTTTCATTACCTGTGGAATTATATTCTCCACTGTTTCATCTTTAAACAGAGGTGGGGGCGGGAGGTCACAGGTTAGATACAAGAATGGCGACTCAGTGACCACATCCTGGTATTCTGATGTCAATAACATTGCTGCTTTCTGTTTGTCATCCAATTCAGTCGAAGGAATTTTGCGAGTGTATATTCGCATGGAACCCAAGAATGACTTGTAAATTATTGAGGAATCAGATTTTTTAGTGCCATTGAGAGCCATATGCAAAGCGTTTAAAAACCAAGACAAAAATTCAACAGGGTCTCCTGAAAAGGTTGTTATGGTTCAAAGTTTCATACTTAAGTTGAAAAATAGAATCCTTCTTTGAAATTAACAATAATACCTTGTTTAGTTATTTGAAACTTCTTCTTGCTCCAAAGAACAACGGCCTGCAACATTTCATGAGGTGAAACATGGACTTTAAAATTCCTGGGGTTCCACAACTTTCTCATGAGCTCTCCAAATCTTTGAACGAGGAGGAACATGCTATCACCAGGAGGTCTTTTCACACGTGAGTAGTTAATCTCGCGAAGAAAGTAGTCACGTAAAGGTGTAACATGAGACAATGCCTATAAAAGATAATACAGACATATTTATTTGACAAATATTTGACTGACACAAAATGGAAACCTCGCTCAAACCCTCTCACCTGTAAAATAACATTACAGTAATCATTGGCTTTGATATTATTCAGACCAACAATTCCAGGCATGTACAGAGTTCCTTCAATTGCTCTTGACATTTTGTCACTAGTATCAAGGCATCTGATGTGTTCTGAGTCAAAAGTAGGATTTAACACATATTTAATATCATCCAGTGATGAATCTGTGGAAAGCACAGGTATGAAATATTATAATAATTAAAATGCAAGAAAGACAGAAAAATTATTGTAGCTTTAAAAAAATATATTACCAATGATTTCATAGTTGTCTGGCAAGCAGTAAAACTTCAGCGTGAGAAGATTTAGGAACACATGATGACTTTCACTTACACTGTGAGTATAAGCATGAGTATTTATTCCCCTTCCTGAAAAAATAATAAGCCATACAATTATTTTGAAGAACAGAATCTAGTACATTGAGTTTATTTACCGAGGCAGTATATTACCTTGAAAGTATTTACCACAAACCAAACAAGCATAGACATTGATTCGAGATAATGAAACACTGCACAGCTTTTCAAAATCAAAGTCGAGGACATGTCTATTAATGGTGTCTAGGTAGGGGCAGAGTCTGTGATTCGTCTGCTTCCTGGGCAGTTTATTATTCTCTGGAACATTCATGCAAAGGTATTTACAATTTTCATATGAAAGATTGACCACCACACTATATACCAGTAACTCAACGTCGTTATTACCTAAATTGAAATATTATCTTAGATTATATTAGACACTGAGCAAACTAAGCATATTTGACAGTTATTATTTTAAGATCCTGACAAACGAAATAATTATAAGATAGTCAAAGGGAATCTAACCTCCTCAATCAACCGTCGGCTGCTAAGGCCGGTAATAAAAATACAGTAGATAAACCTTAAGAATTAATTTGACTTACGTCCGCTCTCATCCCCTTCATCAATGTGACTTCCCTCTTCGACTTTCCTCTTCAAAATACCCCTTTTTTCGTTAACAACAGCATCCGTCATGGTTAACGTTTGTTGATGTTTACTTTCTTTACAGGCAGCTCAGGCGCCGCCACCGCCTTCTTCCTTTTTTCCACTCCACGGCAAGAGCGAAGCGCTCTCATTGGCTGCCACTATGTACCCAGCATGCACCGCCCAAGACAAGACTCAAAACATCCACTCGCACTCCCCTCCCGCCATCGACCACGAACCACCCACGGTGTATTGCACTTTGCACTTGTCCAGCCAGAAACGCGGGCGCGGTTTGTGCAGTAGTTCAAGCTGGCGGGCTGGTGACAGGTTACGGGGTGCCTGGTCGCCAGTGGGTGGAGGTGTTCCCTGCCACAGTCTACCCGTGAACACAGCATATTCAAGTGCATCTCGACATTACACTGCCGGGATGGGGACTTCCGCTGTGAGGTAGGCACGACGAGGTACACAACAGGTACTACTGGCCGAGATATTGCGGAGCCCGTCAACCGTTTAGCACGTTCAGTGCGGTGTGACCACAATGTGGTCGATTTCTCCAACTTCCAGAATGTTCAGCCGCTCTGAACGTAAGGTGTACTAACGATAATGGGAACACTGCGAGCGTTGCGGGAGAGGAGAGTGGTCACCCCCTAGAGCTCTAGCCCCAACTCGCTCGCGGCGTTAGTTTGGGAGGTATATGGCAAGTGGAAAATACGCCGCCCAGAAGAGCACGCGTTAAGTTAAGGCGACTGCACTGTGAGAGCAGTGCTTGTTCTTTGATTAACAGTTTGCAGTGCAGCGCAGTGCAGATGAGTTAAAAGATGAGCTCTGTCGTCGAGGGGTCGAAGACTCGAACTTTGCGGGGACAACAGGAGCACACCCCCAGGCCCCAGGCCGACGGTTATATCTTGATCAATAGATGCTCCTTATTTTTCTAGACCAACAAAATTTGAAAATGAAAGCCGTGGGTTTGATAATGTCGGGACAGAATGCTGTCCCAGTGAGAAATGATCAATCACAAAGTCATCAATTTAAAGAAAATTTGTCGAAATGTCATCAATTTTTGGGACACATTTTCATCATTCACGTCGGTCTTTTGGATTGATCATTTCTCACTGGGGTTCTCCGGCGGAAGCAGTCGTGGATTAAGGGGGGGCGGGGGGCGATTTCCCCCCCCCCTTTGTGGTCTCTAGAGAGCCGCCTGAAAGGTAGGCAATTTGTGCCACAAAACCCCCGAATGTGGGCAACCGACAGCAGTCCCCCCCCCTATGATTTAATTATTAATGAGAAGTATTTGATTCATTCCTACTCTTCTGTAATAGAGCTGCTTTCTAAAATGTTACAGAATGTTCTAACATGCTATGTTAGTCCTGCTTCATTTCATAAATCTGTCAAGAAGAAAATATTAGTATTAGAAAAACTATCAATAAATTGGTAAATAAGACAGTACTGCAGTTCCTGAAGATAGATTTACTTGAATGTAGGCTTCAGTGAGTGTGATCATCTGGGGAAGTATGTCTGTGACATGGAGATCCTGCATTTCATACCATTTTCCAGTTCCCTTTACAATACAAAACTGATTAGATAAAGAACGCTAATATTTAAATGCTTAAAAATTGACAGTACTATTACCTTGTGTAGAAGATGTACTCGATAGGTCCCCTTCCCTGGCTCTCCATCATGAACAATATTTGCAACCAAATTATACATTGTCTGTTTGTGTTTTGCTTTTACCTCTGGTGTTAGAATATCCCCAAAATCAATATTCCTAAAAACAGACAAAAATTCAATGCAATTTCAATTAAACTAAGAGAGACAATTGAAGAATGAAAAGAATAATTTGATGCAGAATGTAAATGCATATACATGGCAAGTATACAAATACTAACTTTACAGGAAAGTTGACAATTGTAGGGTTCTTCTCTATGAAGAAGGTGTTTTTAGTAAATCTCTGGGGGAAAAAAATCATTTTTACTATGAAAGATCTACAAAACCAACATGTATAATTTAGCTATCATTGACAAGGTACACACCTTTATGTACAAAATAAGGTATGTAGGCAGCTGAATGATTTCAAACCTCTTCATAAAGTCTTCTTTCACTGTCTTGTATTCCTTCTCAGTTGTTGCATTGAACTTGGCTAGCAGAGTATACAGGTTGACCTTCACAATATAAAAACAAATCAGTTAGAAATGGAAAATTGGATTGGTAAATATTACTTTGAAGTTTCATTACCTGTGGAATTATATTCTCCACTGTTTCATCTTTAAACAGAGGTGGGGGCGGGAGGTCACAGGTCAGATACAAGAATGGCGACTCAGTGACCACATCCTGGTATTCTGATGTCAATAACATTGCTGCTTTCTGTTTGTCATCCAATTCAGTCGAAGGAATTTTGCGAGTGTATATTCGCATGGAACCCAAGAATGACTTGTAAATTATTGAGGAATCAGATTTTTTAGTGCCATTGAGAGCCATATGCAAAGCGTTTAAAAACCAAGACAAAAATTCAACAGGGTCTCCTGAAAAGGTTGTTATGGTTCAAAGTTTCATACTTAAGTTGAAAAATAGAATCCTTCTTTGAAATTAACAATAATACCTTGTTTAGTTATTTGAAACTTCTTCTTGCTCCAAAGAACAACGGCCTGCAACATTTCATGAGGTGAAACATGGACTTTAAAATTCCTGGGGTTCCACAACTTTCTCATGAGCTCTCCAAATCTTTGAACGAGGAGGAACATGCTATCACCAGGAGGTCTTTTCACACGTGAGTAGTTAATCTCGCGAAGAAAGTAGTCACGTAAAGGTGTAACATGAGACAATGCCTATAAAAGATAATACAGACATATTTATTTGACAAATATTTGACTGACACAAAATGGAAACCTCGCTCAAACCCTCTCACCTGTAAAATAACATTACAGTAATCATTGGCTTTGATATTATTCAGACCAACAATTCCAGGCATGTACAGAGTTCCTTCAATTGCTCTTGACATTTTGTCACTAGTATCAAGGCATCTGATGTGTTCTGAGTCAAAAGTAGGATTTAACACATATTTAATATCATCCAGTGATGAATCTGTGGAAAGCACAGGTATGAAATATTATAATAATTAAAATGCAAGAAAGACAGAAAAATTATTGTAGCTTTAAAAAAATATATTACCAATGATTTCATAGTTGTCTGGCAAGCAGTAAAACTTCAGCGTGAGAAGATTTAGGAACACATGATGACTTTCACTTACACTGTGAGTATAAGCATGAGTATTTATTCCCCTTCCTGAAAAAATAATAAGCCATACAATTATTTTGAAGAACAGAATCTAGTACATTGAGTTTATTTACCGAGGCAGTATATTACCTTGAAAGTATTTACCACAAACCAAACAAGCATAGACATTGATTCGAGATAATGAAACACTGCACAGCTTTTCAAAATCAAAGTCGAGGACATGTCTATTAATGGTGTCTAGGTAGGGGCAGAGTCTGTGATTCGTCTGCTTCCTGGGCAGTTTATTATTCTCTGGAACATTCATGCAAAGGTATTTACAATTTTCATATGAAAGATTGACCACCACACTATATACCAGTAACTCAACGTCGTTATTACCTAAATTGAAATATTATCTTAGATTATATTAGACACTGAGCAAACTAAGCATATTTGACAGTTATTATTTTAAGATCCTGACAAACGAAATAATTATAAGATAGTCAAAGGGAATCTAACCTCCTCAATCAACCGTCGGCTGCTAAGGCCGGTAATAAAAATACAGTAGATAAACCTTAAGAATTAATTTGACTTACGTCCGCTCTCATCCCCTTCATCAATGTGACTTCCCTCTTCGACTTTCCTCTTCAAAATACCCCTTTTTTCGTTAACAACAGCATCCGTCATGGTTAACGTTTGTTGATGTTTACTTTCTTCAAGGCTGCTCAGCGCCGCCACCGCCTTCTTCCGGGAGTGTATCAAGAGCGAAGCGCTCTCATTGGCTGCCACTATGTACCCAGCATGCACCGCCCAAGACAAGACTCAAAACATCCACTCGCACTCCCCTCCCGCCATCGACCACGAACCACCCACGGTGTATTGCACTTTGCACTTGTCCAGCCAGAAACGCGGGCGCGGTTTGTGCAGTAGTTCAAGCTGGCGGGCTGGTGACAGGTTACGGGGTGCCTGGTCGCCAGTGGGTGGAGGTGTTCCCTGCCACAGTCTACCCGTGAACACAGCATATTCAAGTGCATCTCGACATTACACTGCCGGGATGGGGACTTCCGCTGTGAGGTAGGCACGACGAGGTACACAACAGGTACTACTGGCCGAGATATTGCGGAGCCCGTCAACCGTTTAGCACGTTCAGTGCGGTGTGACCACAATGTGGTCGATTTCTCCAACTTCCAGAATGTTCAGCCG